GACACCTTCCTACTCACAAAATTTCTTTAATCTAACGGGACTTGATCCTGAACACTGTCAGGATAGACTTACGCTAAATCTTCTACTTACTGCAGTTTGCCATCTTTTTGCTTGTAGAGGGAAGAATAATATACAGTATTCCACGTTGACAAATATACGGAATAAGTCCACTGAAAACGTGAGAGCTTGCCAGGGTCCATTCACCCAGCTATAGTTCGCAGCGAAGCAGCAAATTAAAAAAACCCTCCTTTTCCCTGGCATTTTGTTTCTTCAGCAGCAGCAGACCATAAGCAACTGGTCAAGTAAAATATTTTCTAAAATAATTTTAATCCTATCTTTTTAGTATACTGTCCATTTTCCAATCCTGTTTTGTGTGGGTTTTGGTTGGTTTTCATCGGTTTTGTTGTTGTTTGTTTGTTTCTGCAAATAACTTTTATTTTTCACCATGGTGTTTATTTGCTTTAATTTGTGGGGGGTTTGCTCTTCGTGTCCCCCCCCCCCAAAAAAAAAAAAAAAAAAAGTGCTTGAAAATAATTTGTCAGTTTGGAATTCAGAGCCACCACTCAGCAGATGGGGGCAGGAAAGTAAATAAATAATTCCGTATCCAGCTGAAAGTGTAAGGAGACTTGAGGGAAGTGAAAAGTAATTAGGTGTATGGAGTGTTGGGTTAATAGTTGTAACAAGTGCAGTGCGTGCTCCGGGGTTGCGGGGCTCAAGGCCTCGGGCCCCACGGGGTGCCCCCGCGGTCCCGGGACGTGCCGGGCGGCAGGATGGGTGCTGGGCAGGTGCTGGGCGAGCTGCGGGGTGCTGTCACGCTGCGGCTGTGGGCAGACATGAAGGACACTTTTTTTCCTCTCCTCTGATTTTTATTCCCCGTAAGGTGTTAGTCGGGGATCGCCTCTGCTGGCATCTGCCTTGTCCCTGTTGTTGCAGACCCCGGCCCCTGGCGCGAGGGCTTGGCCGTCACCGGCAGCGCTGCTCGGGAGCCGGGCTGCCGCTTAAGGTGCCCTCTGAGCCCCCACGATTTCTGTGCTTTTATCACTGCACTGCCTTCAGCACGGTGGGGAAGAGGAAGCAAAACAACTTCTGAATTTTTTGATGATGCGTTTTCACTGCCGCTCGGGGTGCTCGGTCACCGGGAAGCTGGTTAAGGCGGGAGTTGTAGGCACGGTTAGCTGCTCTCCACAGCTGGCATTCAGCCCCCCTGTCTCACCTTGCCCAATATGTTTTTATTCCGAGTAATGGGATGCTTTCCAGTCACGTTTTTAAAGCTCTAAATAAGGGAGGAGGAAGCAGGAGCTGAGCAATCTCCTTACAGCAGGCTTGCTCTGAAGTCTGCCATTTGCTTAAGCCAGCTGCCCTGCGTGTTCTAAAAACACAGTCTTCTTGGCGAATGACTCTCTGGTATGTGCATTTACTGAAATAGTTTTAGAAGAAAGGCGAAACACCTTCAAAGGAACTGTTGGGTTTAATCTTCAGCAATGCCAAAAGGCAGTATCACAGGTTCTTTTTGTGCTGTGTGGTGCAGAATAGATACACAGAAAAACTTTTACAGGAGGGAAAGCCTGACAGTGCGGAAAGTGCTAGGAATTTGATAAGATCTTGAGGGTGAGGAAGCATAAAGTCCTAGTGCGATGATTTCATTTGATTCGTGGCGTAACACCAAAGCACTCTTCAGTATAACTCTTGGTAGGAGGGCATGCAGGTCCATTCTATCTGGACTGAGTCAATATACTGGAAAATTGTATTGCAAGGGAGATAGACTAATTGAATTGTAATCCCTATTTTTATACAAACATTGACCATCACAGTGTTTAATTTACCAGCATCTTTTCAGGACAGATTGCCAGTCATCTTAAATCAATAATATGTCACTGGCATTTCCCAGGGACCCAGTTTCTGCTGAGTCTTCGCTTTCTAAAGCCTTGTCAATACAGAGAAAGTGCTTAAATTATCTCAGTTCTGTTCCAGAGTAGCACTTTGTACAGCTGTTCACTTTTTAATTGGAAAAAACCCCTTCTTGTTATTCTAGAATAATATCCACACAGCTGGCAATTATAAAGTAATTATCCCAACATGTTTTATTCCACTATAGCTGTTCTGGTTTATTTTCTGTCACAAGTATAGGAAGATAACCTGAGGGGAGATGCTGAAGTCAATTGGCTTTAAAAGAGGGGGAAGAGAAAGTTTCTACAAAGTTTTTTTCTCACAAAACTCATGTTGAGAGGAAGAGTGTACTATTAGTGTAATTTATAGTAATTATACATACACACCAATTAGACCAAATTGGGAGTAAATGAAGCGGAGAGAAACTCTTCATTGTGAAGTAATATTGAAGTCCCATTAGTTCTAGGACACTGAAATGTTCAAATTTCATCTCGGATCGAATCTGTGCTGTGGAAGAGCTGACAGCCCAGCGTGATCACCAGCCATTTGGGTCTGGGTCACCAGCTCAATCCCGCTCTCGCTCACCTCTGCCACTGCCCGGTGCAAAAGTTATTGGAGGGGGACGGAGTTATTTCAAATTACTTTCTGAAAAACTTGCAAAAAATTTGTGGATCTTTCTTTTTTCCATCTGCCATGAATACTAAAATGTCTTCCTCTGGAATAGATAGAGATCATTACAAATGGATTGCTAGGGTTCTTTCTGAGAAGCCAGCTTCTTTTGTAAGGCAATTAAGAGGAGTAATAAGATAGTATCAGTGTGCTGAATAGAAAAGTCTACACTGTGCTGCTTGATGGATTATGAGGAGTTGGCAAAGCAGTAGATGGGGCCGCGTGCTGTTGCACATGAAGGGTCTGTGGACAAGGCACTAAGCAGTTATGCTGGGGAGAGTTGGTTGGCATGCTCAGTCAGGCGTGCCCTGTGCCTGCAGGGTCTTTGTTTCTTTTAGACCACAGGAAGAAATCAGATCAGTGACAATGCTAGGAAAATATTAATGAAATTGCAAATGCCAAGAAAGAGGTATCTTAATGAATGCATACTGTTTTGAAATACACATCCCTAGATCTCAGAGACAGCATATTCTCTGTGCAGTACTAGTGTCATGCATAGTGTTGGTCCTACTGAGTTATATGAATTCTCAGCACTAATTTTCCATGAATCCTGAGATCCAGAGTCTCTAAACTAAACCTGCTTAAGGGAGCAGCTGGTATTTCTGCAGTCACTACAGACTGAAAACTGATCTTCTGTGCTTTCCAGCAACTGAACTCCTCTAGGAAATAAGTCAGTTGAGTTTTCCATATGTCTAACTGGTTTTCCTATTCATGTGATAGCGAACGGAGAACCTCAGTGTGAAGCTGCTGGGAAGGGACCTTGCTGACCTTGCTGGGCGCTGGCCGCTGTCGCTGCAGCACACGGCAGTGCTGCCTGCCTACTGCAGGGGGTTAATTTCGTTACATTACATATAGGATGTTGAAACTGGAGAGAGGGATGCAGTTAATTCTAATGGTATTTTTTGTTTAGTAAAGCGTATATTCACAAGACAAACATGGAAATGTGTTCTGTATTTGGGGAGTAAGCTGTGAGTTAGCTGGTAGTTGTTTAAATAAAATAATCTGGGATGCTGCCCAGTGTTTAAATCAAGCTGCTGGGCCCAGGGAGAAATAGAGATTTATACCCTTAAAGCTTGTTTGCTAAACGTGTAGGGTGTGAATCACGACCTGCTTAGCCAACACGTTGTGGGGCGGTGTGTGTGCCTGCAGACGCCACAGTTACCTTTTTCGAAAACGTTACTGAAAGCGGCACCAGGCATCATTTTCCGCCTGTACCTCTCCAAAGGCTGCTCGACCCCAGGCGGCGCGGTCCGGGAGAGGAGGCGTCTGTAACCGGGACCCCGGTTCTGCGGCGGGGCCGGGGGGCGCCTCGGGGCGGGGCCGGGGGGCGGGGCCCGGGGGGGCGGGGCCCGGGGGCGGGGCCGCCGGGCGGCGGGAGCCATGCGCGGGGAGCGGGCGCCGCTGCTCCGCCGGGCCCAGGTACCGCGGGCCGGGGGGCTCGGCCGCCGGGGGGGGCTCGGCCGGCCGGGGGGGGCTCGGCCGGCCGGGGGGGGCTCGGCCGGCCGGGGGGGGCTCGGCCCGCCGGGGGGGGCTCGGCCGCCGGGGGGGCTCGGCCGGCCGGGGGGGGCTCGGCCCGCCGGGGGGGGCTCGGCCGGCCGGGGGGGGCTCGGCCGCCGGGGGGGGGCTCGGCCGGCCGGGGGGGGGCTCGGGCCGCCGGGGGGGGCTCGGCCGCCGGGGGGGGCTCGGCCCGCCGGGGGGGGCTTCTCCCGGCCCGAGGACGGCGGGGGCCGCGGCCGGGCCGTGCTTCCAGGCCGGGAGATGCGTCGGCGTCCGTTCTGGCTACTTGGTGCGCTGCGTTTGCGCTGGAATAGCGCCTAACGTACCTTTTTTGGGTAAAAGTGGGGCTTGGCCTTTGAAAGCCGGTGTCTGTGCTCCTTGCCCCGGGAGGCACCGACTCGCAGGGTTTGACAGCGCCAGGCAGGACTTGCTGTCAGAGGGCTGAAGTGCTCTTTATTTCTATTTTAAACACTGACCTTAGTGGTTCTCTTGTTTTCGGGCAGGTTTCATTGTTTCTTGCTTTACAGATGAAGCACGGGAGTAACTTGGGTTCACTGTACACTTGATCTGTGTGGCTTTTGCTCTTTGATAGTTACCTTCTCTGTCTTTTCACTCACGGGCTGATAAAACTGCTGGCTTTATACCAAAACTTCAGAGAACTCAGCCTGCCAGACTTGAGCACCGTGTCTTGCTTTGTGCTTGAGTTTTTGGTTGAGGCCATTAAGTTGGCTTAAGTGTGAGGGGGTTTGCTTTTTTCTCAGCTTCTACTAGATGTCAGTAAAGCACATGAAGCTCAGTTTACTGATACGGTACTCTAGCCAGCTGAAAAAAGGTACATTTTATGCAGAATTACATCCACTTGTCAAGTTGGCTGGCACAAATAATTAAAGCTTTTATATTAGTGAAGCTGGTGATTAGTGCTTATATTTTTCTCTCTCCTTGCCTAGATTGAGCGATTGGAAGTCAGCAGCCTAGCGCAGACCTCCAGTGCAGTGGCCTCGAGCACTGATGGCAGCATCAATGCAGACTCTGTTGATGGGACCCCAGATCCTCAGCGTACAAAAGTGGCTATTACACACCTGCAACAGAAAATACTGAAGTTGACTGAGCAGATCAAAATCGAACAAACAGCCCGTGATGACAATGTGGCAGAGTACCTGAAACTGGCCAACAATGCAGACAAGCAACAGAGTGCCCGCATTAAGCAAGTGTTTGAGAAGAAAAATCAAAAGTCAGCCCAGACCATCTTGCAGTTGCAGAAGAAGCTAGAACATTACCATCGAAAGCTGCGAGAGATTGAACAGAATGGCATCCCTCGGCAGCCGAAGGATGTCTTCAGGGATATGCATCAGGGTTTGAAAGATGTTGGAGCAAAAGTCACTGGCTTCAGTGAGGGAGTAGTAGACAGTGTAAAAGGTGGGCTTTCCAGTTTCTCCCAAGCCACGCATTCAGCAGCAGGAGCTGTGGTTTCCAAACCCCGGGAGATTGCCTCCCTCATAAGGAACAAGTTCGGGAGTGCAGACAACATTGCCAATCTGAAAGACTCCTTAGAAGAAGGCCAGGAAGATGGGACGGGAGGCAAGGCTCTAGGTGTTATTCAGAACTTTCAGTCAAGCCCAAAATATGGCAGTGAAGAGGATTGCTCCAGTGCCACGTCAGGCTCAGTGGGAGCCAACAGCACAACAGGGGGCCCTGTGGGAGCTTCTAGCTCCAAAACAAACACTCTGGATATGCAGAGCTCAGGGTTTGATGCAATACTGCATGAGATTCAAGAAATTCGAGAGACGCAGGCAAGACTGGAAGAATCATTCGAGGACCTTAAGGTTCGGTATCAGCGGGATTACTCATTAATAATGCAGACTCTACAGGAGGAGCGGTACAGGTATGTACTTCTGTACTTTATTTCAGTACTAAATACTGTGAGTTGCAGAGCACCAGAGTGCTGGATAGTGCTACTCAGCAGGCTGTTCCCAGCAGCCTGACTCAGGTGGGAAGTTCGCAGGATTTCACCCTCCCAGCTTTGTCTTCTGTAAATATCATTACCTTGCTGTTCATCTCCCTTTCTGTACAAGAAAGAAATAGCAAGAAAAAGGGTTATTTCATAGTGTTTTCAAGATAAAAAGTAAAGCCAAAGAGGTTTAGAAAGGTGTCCCAGAAGACCAGGAGTACATTGATGCAGTGACTGTTATCCAGAGGGGTTGCTGCAGTACTGCCAGTCCATAATCAGGTCCCTCACCATGAGAGGTGATGGTGGCTTCAGGGAAGCAGCCTGACAGTGTGGTTTGGCAGCCAGCTCCTCCCTCCTGCCCCGAGGAAAGCACCCCATGGGGAGGTGCTGGGGGAATGCTTTCCCTTCCCCTTCCGTGCTGGGTGGGGGAGAGCTCTCAGCAGGCTGCCCTGTGCTGTCCAACAGAATGTCTTGCATCTTCCCCATCACACGCTGGGAGCCAGGACTTGTCCCCAGGCTCTGGAGGGATGAGTTACCAGCTGCCCTTCTGCAGCCATTCAGGACGCTGCAGTCTAAATCAACGAGATTCTTAAACTGCGCTTTTAAAACTTTAAATAACGAGTGCAAGGGGCCCAGATCCTCGTTCTGATGGAGCACAGCAGGTTTTTATAATGAAGTTGCTTGTGGCCGTCGTCACTTTGGCCAGGCTATGAAGCACAACCTGTGAGGCTCAGCAGAGCTGCTGGGTGTGGGGACAGGTTTTCTGAAGTACTGCGTGCCACTTCCTGTGATGGTTTGCGCAGTACAATGTGGAATTGCCCTACAGCTCTTTAGACATGCTGGTGCCAGATCATTGGAAAAACATTTGAAAAGGCTTAGCCTGCTAGGATCTTGTAGAGACAGCAAGCTTTCTGTGTGCTTTGCAGCTTTCTGTGTGCTTTGCAAAGCTTGGATAGATAAAGCCAGACCAACACCACTTTCTAATCCTTTGCAACAGTCAGCGATTGGACTGAAACTGGCGCCCAGCACAGCAGCTTTGGTTCCCAGTGCCTCATTGTCATGAAGCCACGTAATGACATAATGTGGAGTTTGATCTTCTGCTCCCCAGCAGAGAGGGGTCCTGTGGTTTGTTGCTGTGTAGGTTGCTTCACACATACAGCACCAGCCATTCGTGGTGGAATATTATATGCAAGCATAGTACAGCTGAAGGAGTGGCCTGAAAGTACAGTAGAAGACCCTGAGGGCAGATGTATGTTGTCAGCTAAACTGGTTAGTTATTCCCTGAAACCATTTAGCAAGGTTCACTTAGATCCTCATTCTAGTGCAATATGAAGTCATATCTGTCATGTGCCATTAACCTTTACTGAGTGCTCCCCTGAGGTGAGCCCAGAGCCTAGCCACTAACCAAGGCAGCCTCGAGCGAAAAAAAGCTTCAGGAGAATCTGTATTTGGCTCATAAATGCTTAAAAAGATAGTAATTTAGACCTGCCATTTGGAATGTTGATGCAAATTAATTAAAGGTGTGACCTTTCAAGAGGACCAGATAAATCACATCAGGTGCCCTTGTCTCTGCAGGCTTTCGGAGGTGAGCAGGTAACGGTGTGACCCACAAGGAGTTCATGAGTTAAATCACAGTGAGATTAATACCTTATTGTACAAATCTAGATTCCTGTTTGATAGTGTCTGTGTTTTAAAACATCATGAAGATAAAAACCAACATCACTGTGAGAACTGGAAGGTTACATGATGTGTCCGAGGGTAGAGAGGATGCTGCTGCCTTGGCGGAGAGGGCTGGCGCCTGTTCCTCCAACTGGGAACCCCTCTTGTTCCTTGGCTCTCTTCAGAAAAAATTAAGAGATGGGAATGGAGGTTGTGGTTTGAAGCTGGGAGCCTGGGGATTCAAATTAATCGTAACTGGCTTTAAAAGCTATAAATACCTCATAACTGCTCTATTTCTGGGAAGCTTTCAAAAACAAGCACTGAGTTCAGTTAGTGCTTACAAAAACGTTTTGAAAGAAGTCTTTGCTTGTAGGACAACGCTGAGTGTTCGTATTGTACCTGGAAGCTGGAACAGAGCAGGTGCCATGACCCTTTCTCACCTGGTCTGTGTCCATTTCCTCTTTCTTAGATGTTCTACTTTTTCCCAGCATCTGTTCCTTTTTCCTTACGTGTTCATGCAGTTTCTGTCTATCGGCCACGGCTTGCCTGGCACATTTTCCATGACCACCTCAGCCTCCTCCCTCCCTCTCCTTGCTTCCAGATCTCGCCCGTCAGTCCGCGTAGCTGCCGCTGGCTCCGGGGCAGGGCCGTGCCGGTGCAGTCCCCCCCGTTCTCCCGCCCTGGTGCCGCGGGGTGCCCGGGCTGGCCCGGCAGCACCTCGGCAAGGCCGGGGCGGGCTGCGCTGCCCTGCCTGCCCGCTGGCAGCACGTGCCGGCCCCGAGCACCGCGCCGCTCTGCCGGGGCTGACTCGTCCAGGAGGGAAGGTTCTGGTGGCGCCTTGGCCGTCACTGTGCTGCTTCCGCACCAGGGGCGGGCGCTGAAACAGCCTGTTGCTTATCTCATCGGTTGGGAGGTGGCGGTCGTTCACTGATACGAGCAGGGACTTTCTGTGCGATTGAGGCTGAAATAAAGTTCCTGCTGAGTATTTTCATTTTGCGTGTCCCTTTAGGAACCTGTTTGTATGTGATAAAATCATGAGCTCACATATTTGGAGTGTAGCCAGTCTGAGGGTTTGGGTTTCTTCCCAAGCCTGACATCCTTGGAAAGGGCATTTAGGTCTCTCACGCTTCTGCCAGGCGAAATCCGTCAGCCAGAACGCTAGACGCTGGTGCTTTTGTTTATCTGACTTTTGCTGTAGTCTAATTGTTGGACTTCAGTCTGTTCTCAGGATTTATTTTAGAATAGATCAAGCGTGCTAAACCTTTGAGGTCTTGAAGGGCTGAAGAGGTCCTCTGGAGTGTGGCTGGGCAGTGTGTGGGGTCAGGCAGGTGCTCACCCAGCCGTGAAAGCACCGAAACATTCCTGCTGAGCTGTCGTCTGCTGGCAGGGGAGGTTGGGAGCTGGAAGGAGAGCGTGATGCCGACAGCGAGAGCGGCTCGTGCTCCCGCGGGAGCAAGCTCTGTCCCTCGTGTATCGTCTAGATAGAAGACTTGGAGTGTATCACAGATAGATACGGCTTTTAGCTATTACTCTGTTACTGAAAGCAATGTGTTTAGAGCATTAAAAATGTATTTGGATGACAAATAAAGATCAGGTGAAATTTTGTAGGACATAGCTATAAAAAAAAGGTCCATCTTGAGAGATGCCTGAAGAGAGGTATTAAACTCCGTTCAAAATGTACTGTGAAGGTTTTTTAGCCTGTTTGGTCAGAGTTTCCTTTACTCACCAGAGCACTTACTGAGTGCAGATAAAATGTCTTTTTCATCACGTCTCTCCCTTACATGCGCTGTATTAGCTATGTCTTTTACAGCTATTACCTTAAAATGCCTTAAAGCTTAAAAAAATTAGATGGTCATAATTGTGTTTCTTAGTCGTCTTCAAATCAGTTCCCTGATTCCCAAGCAGTGAGCCTCAGAAAATGTGTGGAAATCTGACATGGCTATTTTAAATGAAATTACTGGGTGTCTTCCATAGCAACATCTCTGATGATCTCAGATATACTTGTGACAATCGGTACTAGTCTGTTACACAAAAAAGTTTCTGTGCTGGAGCTTGTTAATCAAGAGGCTAGTAATTTTAAGGAGAAATTTCATATATTAGCTAGTGAAAAAATAATTCTTTAAGTCCAGTGAGGAGTTTTCTGTACCTGAAATGAAGTGGGATTTGATCATTCAGGGCACTGCTATAGTCAGACAAGTTTAGAGTCTGTTGCACAGACACTGGCACTCATACGTTAGAGAGGGAAGTGTGAGTATAATCTGAACCCTCTTGACAGCTTTCCTATCCCTTTTATTTCTGCAATACCTCTAAGTTAAATGTGAACCATCCTTCAATAGGAAAACTCTGGCTTCAGGCCCTGTAAGTCACGTGAACCCCTTTTAGCTTTTCAAATTTGAACACCAGTAGAAAACAGCAGGAAAAAAAATATTTTCTAAATTGTAGATAATGAGACAAGGAGTAAAAAGGAGATGAATGGAGGAAGTGTAATTTCAAAAATAAGTGTGGGTAGATTGGGGGTGTGTGGGGTTGATGATTTTTTTTTTTTTTTTTTTTTTTTAGACTAATTGCAGCAGTTGCCTAACATAGCAGTTTCTGAAAGCACAGATGATTCGTGGGTGCAGACTGCAAAAGCTCTGGAGCCAACCCTTTTGCTAATCATGTTATGCGTAAACTCTTAACTATACAGATTTGCAGGGTTTCCTTATGTTTCCTGTAGATTGAGGCAGTTCTGAAGTTATTAAAATACAATTGTTTCTTGTTAGAGAACAGGATTTAAGCTGCCTGGCAACAGCCTTTTTATGAAGGGCGTTTATGTGGGAGGAGTTTAAAAGACATAATCATATTTTCAGAAATGCTTAAGTCCCTTTTTGTGTAATAAATTCACTGACGGATTTTTCGATATATTAACAAACTGAATATATTTCAAGTAATTGATGCTACCTTTGGAACTTAGAGTGAGTCTAGTTGTGATTTCTGGGTTGTTGTCAAGTTGGGTCTTTTTTGAAGTTGGGTGGGAACAAATGGCAATATTAATTTTCTGGGCTCCTTCTTCATTAGCAAGTCTCCACATGGCTATTCCCTCATTTGCAGCTTGCAGCTTGCCATTCTTGGGAAACCAGTTCTCTTGTGTGTCCTGTCTCGGTTGCACAGCTATTGTGGCACCTTTCTGGGCTGAGCCATGTCAGCTGGTGGTTGTCTCAGTCTCACTACTGGCTGACCACATGTGTTTCATTGTTGGAAATTGTCATGCTATGTCTGACTCCTTCTTAGTTTAAAGCAATATTGCATTGGTAATGTAAATGAAAATTCTCTTCAGACTTTGCAATTAAAAACAAAATCCCAAAACCATTTTTAAAGGATAGCTTTTGCCTACACATTCTGAATATTTAGCTTGTAGAGCACCAAAGAATTATTGGAAAAAAAACAAAAGCAAGACTTTTGTCTTAGTTTCAGAACTTGTAAATAAATTTTTCATTCTAGATAAATATTGTTTATTTGTTTTATGCACGTGTGTGTGTATGAATTAAATTCAGGTGGAGTCAGAGAGGAACTGAAATTAAACCAATGAATTACCTCTGTTGAATTCCTTAGAAACTTCTCAGTTATTAGTGTGAAGGGTCAGATGATAAGAGCTGCATGGTAAGCTTTTTTCCATGCTATTACGATGAGCAGACAGTGGAAATCTGGGTGGAAAAACCCCAGCAGCCACCATAGCTGTACCCATACCTTAGTTACCATCCGAGCGGTTGCTCAAATGAACCAGGAGTGAGAAACTAGCGGGAAGCAGGGTAGACGAGGGTGGTATGGATGGTACCCAACTCACTGCTCCCGACCCTTGGGCTGCGGCCTAGTTCTCTGTGTATGTTTACCTTCTGGAAGTAATGGAAGTACTTGACTGATTTTAAAAGGGTACTGAAGCATGAGTTGCTTGTAAATTTGAACTTGAAATCCCAAAAATGAAGTCCTACACACAAATGCAAAGTGTCCCTAATGTATTTTGAAAGTGCTGAATTAAGATTATGGAGCTATCATTGTGAAGCCAATTTAAAACTCCCTCAATGAGAAACAAAGCTGTATCTCAGAATTGTTCTCATTCTTTTGGGGTAGTCCTTTTCCTCAGGACTTCGCCCAGTCATTCACTGGTAGCAAACTGAAAAATAAGCCTGCAGGTTAATGATTCATGTGCCCTCCTTATAAATAATATGATGGTCTTTGCTGGTTAAATTGCTTCATTCATGGGAGATAAAGAAAAACTAAGTCAAAGATATGCACATGACCTGATGTGTAGAGATCAGACAGGACCATCATGTTCTCTGAGACATCAGTCCCATTTCATTTGTGTGTCATTTTTATGTCTGTTACTGTTCCAAGTGTAGATTAAAATGCTTAAGAGCTCACGGTATTAGAAGGAAACCGTTTGGTTTACATAGAAGTTTGGGCAGTAACTTATTCTATTCTAATTCTGTCCTTGATTTCTTGCACCACTTGACAGTTGTCGTTTAACTGCTCCGTGTGGTTTTGCCCAGGATAGAGACAGAATTAACATTACCTTACCTGATAGAAAGTATTTCTTAATTCCCAGCGAGAGGGCCTTACATTGTACTGTGTGCTTTTATAATGACTGAGGTAGCCACAGTAGTTTTCAAAAAAAAAAAAAGTTTATGATGTTCATTGCTCAATTGTTACTGGTGTGATTTTGCCGTCCTCTTCTCATTAAAGCTCCTGTACCATGTATATCATTTCTAGATGTGAACGACTCGAAGAGCAGCTAAATGACCTGACTGAGCTCCACCAGAATGAGATCCTCAATTTAAAACAGGAGCTGGCCAGCATGGAGGAGAAAATTGCCTATCAGTCTTACGAGCGAGCCCGGGACATCCAGGTGCGTGACAGAAAACAAGGAGACTCAAGTCCTGGCTTCCACCTCCTCTTTCCGTAACTTACTCGCTTTGAAATACTTCTGTGATTCAGTATTTGGTTTTAGTCCTTGTAGCTTTATTGCTAAACTGCTTATTGATGAATTCTGAAAGAGCCCTTATTCCATCTCTGACCCTCGGGTATCCCTCCAAGTAACATCTTTTGTAAAGAAGGGCACCAGCAGGCACGTTCATTTGCAGAGGCAGACTGCCACTTGGTCTGGAGCAGTTTTTAAATGAGTTGTAGCGAAGTGGAAAGCCTGTGTCTGCTTTTTGTACAGGGTTTTGTAGGGTATTAGAAACTAAAGGGACATGACCTGAACACTTTTTTTACAGTAGTGTTCCCAGTGAATGGACCCTAGGGTATGTTTGTGTCACTAAATTTAGAGCAGTGGACACACATGTGTAAGGAAAAATGGCTTTGTGTATCCACTGCATTGAGTCAGGAAACTTTCTGTTGGTTTTGCCCAAATAAGGAGGTATTTTTAAAGAAGCTGTTTCTTTCAGTATATAAAAACAAAAGCTATGAAAACAGAGATTATGAAGTTGGAGGGCCTTCCACAGACCAAAAGAGCTGGGAAGTTATGTGAGCTGCTGCTAAACTTATAAAGAAAGGCCGATTCAGAAACAGGTCTATCATCCATTTTAAATACTTGTGCTAGTTTTAGGAGGCATCTCGGTTCAGACTGCTGATGTGAGGTATTTATAGTGTGAGCAGAGAACTGTAGGTCAAAGTTCTCCCTCCTTCCTTCCCCTGAAGTGCTTCAGCCAGATGATTTCCTCTGGGGACAGAACGGGCTGCGCTTCTGGCACGCTTGTCAATCCTGCTGCAAGTCCAGTTGAGTCAACGTCCTTCCAGGCTGCGGTTGGAAGTGGCCGAGCAGTTTTGCCCTGTACTTTCAGGGACCGTAACTGAAGAGAAGCCCTCATACAAGATCATCTTTAAGGTCCCTTCCAACCCAAACCATGCTGTGATTCTGTGTTTCACTGACCTCCACAGACATGATGCAGTGACAGAGAAATATAACAGGTGACAATGACCCTTAAGTTAAGGTTAGAATAACTCGGTGCCTGTGGACAATGGTGCCATGGCCTCCGATGGTGTAAACAGGAGGCTCTCCCTTGGGGGAATGTTACAATATTCATTTTTTCTTCTCCTCTCTAATTTAACACAGTGGGAAGTAATGTTGAACACTTCAATTGAAGTGGGGATTTCTCAATACCTTTTCTTAATCTTCATTTTATGATTCAGCACTTCTGGTGTAAACTTGCAATTGGGACAGACTATTCCTCAGCATTGCTAGGGAAAAGGTGAGCGTTGAGTTTTCTTGCATGAAAAACCAGTTAAGAGAGTCCAGGTTCCTTTTTTAGTGGTCAGTCTGAGAGAGACTGCTGCTATGCTGCAGACTTTTAGATGTTACCTGAAGTTGGCCTTAATGTCTTAGAAAAGCAACTCTGAGGGAGGATTAATGGAAAAATTGTAACTCTCTATCTGTAAGAGCAGAAATGTCTTAATCACCCCCATTCAGTGCTGCTTTAGAGATGTTTTGTACGGGATAGTCTTCTCCTTCCATGTACTTTTGCTTCCTCCTAGAGGCAGTTTCATAACTCTCATGCCTCTTACCCTTCTCCTAGACATCTTTCTCCAACTCCTGCAGTGTTACCTGGAGCTATGCCCATGCCACAGCTTGGTGCAGACTAGAAGAGGAGATCTCTTCCTCCTGTGACACCAGCTGGGCAGTCCCAGCCTTGGTACTCCTCAAACCTTCCCCTGGGCTCATTCAGCTCACTAAGCAAGCAGAAGGCGGCTCAGCCTTTTTGGTTAGTTATTTTTGTTGACTTAGTTTTCTGCCAGGTTACCTAGAGAATTGAATGTACTCACAGAGGGGTTGGATAAGCACAAGCCACTGCAAGGGAAGTGATGGAAGTGGGAGGCTCTGGGAATGCACGTCCCAGAAGAGGAAGAGGAGTAGTGCTGGCTAGAGACAGCACCTTTGTACCCTCAGTGGTCTCTTGAAAGCTGAAGTGAGCAGTTCACGGGGTAGCCCCACCTTTCTGGACAAAGGCTGTCAGATTGCTGAGGGCTGTCAGCATCCTCCTCCCTCTGGGTCCGAGGCAAGGCAGGAAGGATGTAAGGTCTCAGGTGAGCATTGCACCACGTGCAGGGACAGGCAGCTGACAGTGCAAAGTAGCAGCTGAAGTGTGCGTTTTAACCAAGCTTGCCTTCTACCCTGCCTGTCATCTCTCTGACGAGCCTCTCTGGTGTAAAGGAGGTGATGTGGCGTTGCAAATTGCAGTACCTCGTTAACGAGGGGCTCCTCACCCTCCATCACCTGAAATGGCACAGCTTCCTCTACTCCTGCTGCAGGATATGAAATCAGGGTAGTGACTCGTGTCCTGCGGGAGGTGTGAAAGGCACGCGGGTGGCCCTGGGCTGGCCTAGTTGGCAAGGTAAGGGCTGTGGGCTCTCCCCCACTGGGGTGGACTTGTGGGGTGCTGGCAACCCAGTGGTGTGTTCTTGTCAACAGGAGGCACTGGAAGCATGCCAGACGCGCATCTCCAAGATGGAACTGCAGCAGCAGCAGCAGCAGGTGGTGCAGCTGGAGGGGCTGGAGAACGCCACGGCCAGGAACCTGCTGGGGAAGTTCATCAACATCCTCCTGGCTGTCATGGCTGTCCTCCTCGTCTTCGTCTCCACTGTGGCCAACTGCGTCGTGCCCCTTATGAAGACTCGCAATAGGACGTTCAGCACTTTATTTATAGTGGTTTTCATTGCCTTTTTGTGGAAGCACTGGGACGCCATCACCGGCTACTTGGAACGGTTCTTGTCTCCCCCCAGATGATGGCGGCAGGAATTGGCTGTGTTGCCCTCCTCCCGGTGCTCTCAGTGAGCAAGTGTGGCAAAGATTAGTCAGCAACTACTCAGCTGAAGTTTTAAAGTGTCCGAGTGAATTTGTTTACATTTAGAATAACGTTTTTTCTCTGCGAGATGCATTGCAATAGTATTTTTTAGATTTTATTCAAGAACTCTTTTTGGCGAGAATCCTGGATAATTTTTATGTAGCATGGTTCTCTTTGGATGCAAATCTTAAGATTCTTTAAAGTGTACAAAAGAAATAAACACAGAAATTTGGAGCATACCAATGGGCAATTTAAATTGTGGCTTGAACTACTGTACTAAACTTGTCAGGAAGAAGAGAACGTGGTTAGCTTAAGATGAGCAAAGCTAAATCTAGTGCACAGCCTTGAATGATGGTACCACAGCAAACCTGTAACACTAAACTTTTACTGTGAAGTCTGCTCACATTCCATGTCCAAATGTATGCATTCAGAGTGGTTTCTTTCCTTAGCAAGAGAAAAACAATGTGTGGATCTCTTTCCCAGCTCGGTGTCTGGGTTCGCCATTTGTGCTAACCTGACTTACAGTAACTTTCTATAAGGCTGGCTAACTTTGCTAAGCATACGAAGTGGAAGCCTCATGCCATACACAGTAACTGCACAGTCGTGCTACAGTATTTTGAAGTAGTCCTTGAAATACTTATCTTTAAGCAGAAGCCCTTGGTCGCACTTTTAAGGTTTTTTTTATATATGTATATTCACAGATTTAAAAAAATCCGAACAGCATACTTGAAGAGTGTAATACTCAAACTCTCAGTGCTTCCTTATTGTTTCTAATAGGATTTTTTATTATAATTATTATTATTATTATTGAGGGTTTTTTTGGAAGGGGTTGGGAGGGTCATTACTTTTTTTTTCCTTTTAAATAAAGAAGTGATGTTTTTAAATGAAGAAATGCGTGAATAATTGTGAGCCGTCTTGTCCTGAAACAGTTTTGAGGAGGGCAGAGAGTAGTTTCTAGTGCCAGCCTGTCTGGAATGCAGCGCTGTTCATATGCCATTTATCTGTCCTCCTGAGCATACAGATGCAGCATCATGAAAAACATCTATCTTCTCCACACATTTTTGCCATGCAGAGCTTTTTTTTTCTTTTTCCAGATGTGAAGGAGAGTAAGTTTATATTTCTCATTTGCATGTCATCTCTCATTCCTGACCTCAGGATAAGAATAAGGAATTTCTCTTCATCCCTTCCTAGGGAAAAGACAGGTTCTTTTAAGGAAAAAAATACTGAATCAACAGCCCACTTAAAAGAATGGTTGTTTCAGAAATATCTCTGATTTCATTTTTAAATAAACCCCTAAAAAGTGAAACCAAAGTTTTCCTCCCGTCAGGCTCTGGTAAGATCATTTGTGTGTCTGTGTCGAGATCTTCTTTGTACACTGTATCTGTGTGGTGTGCCATAGGGGAGCATCCTCTTCTTCAGCCGTGGGGGCAAGTACTTGTTGTAGATACCTTTTCAAAGCTCTAAAGGAAAGATCAGCTTCAAGTGTGACTCAAGTCCTAGCAACATGCTGTTGCTGGTGACCTGTTGGTACTGGCAGGCAAGCTTCACGTCCAAGGAATCTGCATTCACTCTGTGCTGGTTTTTTAACTAGTGTCCCTTTCACCATAACAAAGCCAAGATTCAGCTTTCGTTTCCAAGAAATCCAAAATGACTCCAGGATTCTCTTTCAAAACCATTCATGGTGTTTAGTTAGATCTTACTGTTTTCCTTCCTTCCAGGCTTAAGTTCCCTCTAGGAACCAAATGTTGCCCAAGTGACCTAAACCAGTTGAAATCATATGTATACATATATGGAACTTGTACATCAAAGATATATATATACACACAGAAGCCTAGGACTTTATGCTATGATGCAAATTCTGGGTTCTGAGAAATTCCCTCAGACTCCGTTAACAGCCTTGAGGGTCTTCTGGTTGCCAGCGGAGCCAAGCCCTCCGCCATCCAACCATCCTTCTTCCTTCAAAGATTCTATTTTTAACATACTCACAGGAAACTCAGGTACCCCCGTCCCCAGGGATCCCAGCACACCTCTCTCTGTCACCATGTGCACTAATCTGCTCCAGCCCTACTTAAAACACAGATTGCCAATTGCAACTGACTCAAGCCAAAAATAGTGATGCTTTCTACAGAGTTGCAGACAGAACAAAGATTGCATTAACATTCCCTCCCTAGACCATGCATCTAGCTCCAGGGAAACGATTCTGTTTACCACCCTTCTCTGGCCAATTCAAACTGCATGGATAACTATCATCTTCCCATTATGGAGTCTTTGTCAGAAACAAAGATGTGAATAAGAGTAAGAACTGATTTGGCACGTAATTGAAAAGCTTCGTTACCTTTATTTCTAAAACCTCGCCTTTGCACCTCTGTTTTTCTCAGTTTTGACTATACTAGAATTGCTCGTGGTAGGTTTTTATGTGGTCAAAGCGGGAAGGAGTTGAAAGCCAATGGATCTGGACACTCAGTGCCACTCATCCATAGTATCTGAAGGAAGTGTTTATCCCTCCTCTTCTTTATATCCTGACTTCATTTAGCATCTCAACTTTGTGTCATCAGTAAATATCATTTGCTAATTTGCCAGAAGGCACAGGCTTAATAGAAACTTATCACCTCAAAACTGTTTGGTGAAGGCCATGTACATATGGTTCTGGACAATGTCTGTCTGTCTGTCTCTTTCTCTCTCGACAGTTTCCTCCATTCCAGAAAGTTGTCTGCAGTAATGCCATATATGATGCTGCATCCACTGTTCATATCCTAACACAACTGCCATGTGTTTTGCCTTTTGCATTAGCAGAATGTTTTGGGGTTTTCCTCCCTCTTCAATTTGAAGGTCTGTGATGATTTCTGATAGCATAACAATGATTATATTGTTGGAAATGTGATTCTAGCTTTAAAGCTCCCTCTCCTTGTAAGTGGTTGTGTTTGCTTTCTTGATGAAGCGTTTCTGGATGACACGTAGAAGACAAGTTTCCGCCATGGATGTGCGTGTGCGTGTGAGTACCTTTTATTAGCCTTCCTTATGGGTATAAACTTTTTAGTGACCATCTCTGAATTGTAGAATGTTTCCCAAAACATTTTACATTCAGAGTTGAAATGATTCTGAAATTGATTAGGTATGTTTAGCACATATCGACTTGGCATATAAAAAGGGAAGAATATAATGGACTGTGTTAGTTCAAAAAGCAGCAGCTCTGCTGAAATTCTGTGGTTCAAATGAAGTTCATCTGTTTCCCCCCTTTGCTTTCTCAATGTAAAGAAGAAAGAAAATCTTGATGCAAAAAAATTTACCACTTTTAAGTTTTATAAAGTTATCTTTTTCTCTCAGCCTCATCAGTTCAGTTTGACGATATTCAGCATGCTCACAGCAATTATTTTCTTGGTTTATTCCAATCCCATGAGTTCTTAAGGTCTGATCAGATTAAATGTTGACTTCTGTACATGTTGCACTGGGACAGGAAAGAACTGTCTTTCAGCTTTGAAAATATGCATTTTTCTTTATTAAAAAAGCATTATAACAAAAGCCAAGCTACAAAGGGGTTCAAGATTGGGTAGTTTTGCCAGATTTTAAGTGAATTCTGAATGTGGCTAAAGAGTTAAAAACCCTGTGTGTCTGTGTTGTGTATGCCAGGTGGTATAGTAGTAGGCAATTGACTTAGCTGTAAGTGTGTTTTAAAAGTGTAAAAAAATAAACAGAAAAACTCACTTGCACGGGTTGAAAAGTACAGAAATGACACTTGTGAACGTAACACTGTAGTTTATAGATCTTAAGCTGCTAATTGTTGAGAGAGATTTACATTTGTCTTGTCTGATTGTCACAGATTTATCTGTGACACTTTTACTGTATATAAAAAACTTTAAATAAAGACCTCAGCTATTAACACTTGCCTAATTTGGATGTTTTGGGGCGGGGGGGGGCAGTGAGGAAGAAAAAGAGGGGTGTGTTAAACCAGTACTGAGCCCTAATAGTTCAAAAATTTGAGCAAGTTCTCCATGGATCCGATCATCAAACTTCATCCTATAATCGGCCAAGCACCACCTGGGCACGGCGAGAATAAATCGGCTGCGTCGTTTGGTCTCTGCAGCAGAGGAGGAGGAAGAGCAGCACTGCATCCTTCCTCATCCATGTCCTTCCAGTGTGCGGTGAGCCTGGGACAGCCTCTGCGGCGTCACAGCCGCTCCCGCCGGTGCCTGACCTGTTTGTGTGGCTCTGCACATCACAGCGTTCCTCCACCCTCCCTGCCTGCAGCGCCGTAAGCCTCAGTTTGGAGGTGGGTGCAGTTAGTTCGGGTGACTTGCCCGAGAGGTGTCTGTCGTTCAAGAACCAGGAGTTGGTCCTGTGTTTCCCATCTCTGAGCAGGTCTGTAATCTGGACTGCCCCAGGGGGTGGGGGCTGGTTCTTCTTCGGACTTTTTCCTGACGGGGATTGCAGGATCAGCTCCATGCGGAGCTGCATTTGCAAAGCAAGGTGCGATTCTAGATTTACCCATATTTCTCACATGGATTTTATGATGGAGCAGCTCTGGGCCCCAGCTCAGCTTTGAAGAGGAAGAAGGCAGGTGGTAGGTCAGCATTCACTAACCAAAAGCCCACTCCCTCTCCTTCTGAGGAAAGGCAAGAGCCTATATGATGCTGGTATTTCGTCTACTGCATTTCACAGAAGAATTTCTGAATTCTTTATTCTTTGTACAAGCTGGAAGTGAGCAAGTTCCTCACTGACCTGGAGAAAATACTGGTTCCTCTTGGATTTTGGTCACATGGCCTCAAGGACACAGAACCAAGAAGGGAATGGCAACATCTTTTTTAAGTGGAAAGGGACCCAGTAATTTTCTTCGTTTTGACAAAAAGGTGCAAGTGCTGTAAAACCAGCAAGAGATCAAAAAATGAAATTAGCTGTCAGCAGTAATTTTCTCCCCCCAGTCTCCCCACAAGAATGCAAATTCCAAGATTATGGATGAAGCAAGTGCATGGGGCTGCTTTTGCTAGAGCTGTCTGGCTCGAGACAGGACATGGGTGCTGGCTGTGAAGTTTAAGGTTTGTGTGTTCTGGGGTGGTCACCTGTCAGGTGCTGGTTGGACTCAGCACGGTTGTTGAACGTGGCTCAGGATCAGCACGGGGCATGATGACCAAGGGTGAAAGCAGTGGCTGCCTGCTCGCACAACAACAGTTTTAATCCCATAATTTAGAGGATTAGGAGTTGTTACTCAGCGTTTTGGTTAGTCTGTGGGAAGTGGTTTGGTAGCTCCACCCAGGTCCTGGGGGACAAACAGAGATGTGGCAACGCTATGGCTATGCTAGGTTGCCACAGTGGAGATGAAGAATTGGCTGATCTTTCTGCCACTCCCTCTCACTGGAGCAGTCATTCACCCAGATCAAATCACAACACACTGATGTGATAATAGGGGAAATTTGGGCAAACAGACAGCTCCCTACCACAAGATATCTTTCTTCAAGTTGTTTCTTAACAAACACCAAACCTACTTTCTCCTTTAAAAGACAGTGTTGGTTAGTGGTTTGTTAGCCTCAGTGGAGCCTCCCTCACTGACTGGAGTTCAGCAGAAATGGCAAGTGGGTTCTCTGCTGCCGGAGTTAGCATGAAATGGTGCATCCCTGGGCAAACCAGCTCTGCCGACTGGTTCATTCCCTAGCCAGATCCCCTCTGAATTTAGGAATAAGTCACCACATCTGTAGGCTCTGCCTTTGTACCAGCCTTGTGCCAGCCCTGGCCCAAAGGGGCAAAATAGGGATGCTGTCTGAGGAGAAAAGCAAGAACAGAATGGGAAGCTGTGGTGTGTTTTCAGCCTCCCTCCCCAGTGCAGGTCTGCCTGTAGCCATGCCTGTGCATAGCTGATACTCAACTTCCCTTGCACTCAAGAGGTCTGCAGCAGTTCAGAAGTTCCTCCACTGCACACACAAAAGCACTTAAATCCGGCAGGGGTTAACTATCACATCTCTGCTGTGACAGCCTTGAGGACACCCCTGTCTCCAGTTTCATTGTTTGAAGAAAACTTTTATGCCTAACACTAGATATGGTACGTAAGGAGCTCTAAGAAGTGACCCTAAGAAGAGCCTCGTTTGGCCAGCACTCAGAAGCAGGTGAGTGTGACCCCACATTGCTCCCTCTCGTTACTTGGCTCCTCGTTTCCAGCTGGTTTGGGCACTGCTGCCACAGCTGCTCATCACCCACACGTGAGAAACATCCCCTTAATGTGAACACAGGCTCTGGGTCAAGACAACTCCCGTTTATCCTTATCCTTGCTGAAAGTGTCACTCCAGGAGACACTGCTGACACGGGTGATTGGGCTGAGGGGGAGGGAGCTTCTCGGTTTGCTCGGGGAAGGAACTGTGAACCGGGAAGCACCGCTCATCCTCCCCTCAGGCACACCCTGAGAGCCAAGTGGTGTGTTCTGGAAATAAACATCCTGCTTACCTGGGGGAGGGATCCGGAGAACAGGGATCATATGATGAGCAGGTCACGTTTTTCACCGATGGAGCACTCCTCAGTGGAAAACATCTTCAAGGAAATAACATCCCCCTGACCGCTGCCTCGTGCACCCTGAGGTGGTTACCATTCTCAGCGTGGGTGTAACAGCGATCTCCCAGACGGCTGAAAACTTTGGTTACGTTCCATCCAAAAATATTCCTTTGAAACATCTTTAGCTTATTTCAGATCGACTCCACTCCTTCACTGATCACATCTGCGTTTCCCTCCCTCTTTGGAAACAGACTGTAACACAGGCATCATCTGGCACTGTCCCATCCATCCCCTTCCCAGCTGGGAGGCGCTGCTGGTTGCTGGGACAGGCTGGAATCCGCGCGCGCCCCCCAAAATCCCCTCTGGGACATGGCTGGGCCGAACACCCTGACCCGCGAGTGCGGGGCGGCGAGCTCCGGGCCCGCAAAAATACAGCGGGGAACGGACGGGCCCCCGAGGGGGGCACCGCGTCCCCCCGCCGCGCCCGAGGCCTGCGGGGGCTCCTGCTGCCGGGGCCCTGCCGGCCACGCGCGGGGTGGGAGCTGAACCCCTCTCATCCGAATCGCCCTGGCTACGGGGCGGTGGGGGTCCTAACGGGCCTCACGGCAGAGCCTCCCCGGCACAAACACCCGCCAGGCCGCCGCAGGCCCGGCCTGAGGGGACGGGGGGGCCCGGCCTGAGGGGACGGGGGGGCCTGGCCTGAGGGCGGCCCGCCCGCGCGGCCTCTGGCGCCGCCTGGCGGCCGCAGGGAGCACTGCGCACGGCACCGCCCCGCCCGCGGTCTCTGGCGCCACCTGGCGGCTGCCTGGCGCCACAGCCCCGGCCCCGCCGGGTCTGGAGGGGGGCGGGGGGTCAGCGGGGCCGGTACCGGGGGTCAGCGGGGCCGAGGGGTCACTGGGGCCGGTACCGGGGGTCAGCAGGGCCGGGGGGTCAGCGGGGCCGGTACCGGGGGTCATCGGGCAAGTACAGGGGATCAGCGGGGCCGGTACCGGGGGTCAGCGGGGCCGGGGGGTCACTGGGGCCGGTACCGGGGGTCAGCGGGGCCGGGGGGTCACTGGGGCCAGTACCGGGGGATCCGTGGGGTCACTGGGGCCGGTACCGGGGGACAGCGGGGCCGGGGGGTCACTGGGGCCGGTACCGGGGGTCAGCGGGGCCGGGGGGTCAGCGGGGCCGGTACCGGGGGTCAGCGGGCGAGTACAGGGAATCAGCGGGGCCGGTACTGGGGGTCAGCGGGGCCGGGGGGTCACTGGGGCCGGTACCAGGGGGTCAGCGAGGCCGGGGGGGGTCACCGGGCCGGTATCGGCGGGGTCAGTGAGGCCGAGGCTGGGGGTCACTGGGCCAGTACCGGGGGGGTCAGCCTGGCCGCCTGCATCTCCTCCCCGGGGAAAAGCGCTGCAGCCCTGGCCCGTACAGCGGGCTGGCACCGCTTTGAGCAGGGGAAGCCCCCCCCGCCCCACGCGAGGCCGGGCAGGGACCCCCCCGGGGCCCCTGTCCCACAGCGGCCGCATCCTGGCACCCCGCTGTGCCCCCGGGCTGAGCAGCGAGGGGAGGGTGTGCAGCGGCCGTGGGAACACGATGAGGAGCTCGCGCAGACCGGCTCACCCCACGCGCAGGCTAAACCCTTGCGCACCCCAGCACAACCGTCTTCACCCGTTTGTCGTTGCTGTTTCCTCCCAGGGAATGAGAGGTGACGCAGAGACCTTGACCCCCTCACGCAAACACCTCGCCGAGGTTGCCACCGGTTTGGAACCATCCCTGCCACACAAATGGCCCATCCTCTTGTCGCTGGGCCACAGGCAACGACTGCAGCGGCACATCAAAGACCCTGAGCTGTGCCCACTGCGTGGGACCCCTTCTCCCCCGTGGCTCGGTCACTGCAGAAGCACCTCAGTGGTCGTTACTGCCTGAAGCCACTCCGGTAGCTGATGTTGGCCCAGGTGGGGAATAGCCTCTCCCTGCTCAAGCTTGGCAGCTCATCTGCAAATCCTGCACACACACGTGCCAGCACAGCATCCAGGCCTGCGCTCAGCTCCCGTCATGCGGCCACGGGCCGTGGCTCTGCAATGCATCATTGCTCCGGCTCTGGAGGGAGCTATTCCAAGGCTTAATTGTTTATGGCACACGTTGATTGCTCTCAAACCAGCTTTCACATAAGGCTGAATGGCTCTGCTGCTGTTGTTAAACATGGCTGGGGCTGTGATTACAGTGATCAGTCATTCATCTGATCTGGATCTTTACTCAAAGTGGGGCTGGACTCTACAAAAATTTGGTGTCCTGCTCTTCCCTGCTTCATCCACCGAAGCTGGTGTGCCAGACAGGCCCTATTGGGCACAGGCCTGATCCCCTGCCCCTGCCTCTCTCCTTCCTTTTTGCAGCACAGTCTGTGTTTGCTGGCAGTCCCGGCTT